TTAATCTGTTTCGCTTAACCTATGTTTCTGTCCATTGTCCAAATTGTGGGCTCCTGACCACAAGCACAGAAGAGGCCATTGGACAGACAGATATTTGGTCTATCCTATATAGCTGTTCTTACACCAGAAAACGTTCCTCTGCAGCTGGGGAAGAGGTGCATGCTTGTAGGGTCATTTAATACAAAAGTTAGATAAAAAAAAAAAGGTACCAAGACCTTTCTCTAGTACCAGGCCAGCAAAAAAGTCTTACTTTACCTTTCATGCCCCAAACACCCACTGTAAGCTGTACAGTATCGGTCTACAGTATTGGCAGAACCCTTCCAATTACTTTGCTACCCTACCTGAATGTAACTGGGAAGATGCCAGTTCACAGACAGAGCTTTTGCAGTAATACCATGATAATGTGGGCTTGGCATGGTTACATCATACACATTATCTTGGCAGTCGGGCAGCAGCAGCTCCACCAACTGAGCTCAAGGCCAAGCCATCAACAGTTGTGCTGAATGCAGTTGTCTGCACATTTTTACAAAGGCTTTCCCATTTATGATGTTTGTTTTAATTTGCTGCCCTTGGTGCTACTAACATCCCTATACAATGTTTGTATACCCAGTAAGTTGTAAGAAAACATGCAGTAACAGGCAACAAACTTGTTACCATCATTTAGCAAACTTGATGCTCAAAACTTTTCACTCCTAATCAAGTAAAATACACCATGCATAATTAAGCCTGAAATCTGTCAGACACATCTGTCTTGGAACCACAGATTGGCTCACTTCTGAACTCTGGGCCTTTCAGTGTGAGATCAGTTCCTACAGCAGAACCCAACTCTCTAAACCTCTCAAACAGTATTCTCAGCCATTTTCAGTTCTGCTTCCAACAACCTTTAGCCTTTTAGCCCCAAACTAGTCTACATTAGTTTTAGAGATGACAACAAATACGAACAGAATGTGCCACTTTGTGAAATCCATGCATCTGGCTTTATTTGACAGAATTGTCATTCTGGTGGTATCCCTTCTTCACTATGTGACATCTGCCCCTTCCTTTCCTCCTCTATTCATCCTCTTTGCACAAGATATAAAATAAATACATCAGGCAAAACATGAAACAGATTAGAAGTAAATGTTGAAAGTAAGTGCATTTCAACTAGAGCAAAAGTAGCTGCTAGCATAATTAAGGTCTGCAAGAAACAGCACTCACTAGGCTTTATTACAATTATAGGATTAACACTGGGGGTGGAATGTGTAAATTACAAAACTGATGTTAGTTGTAGCAGTACATTTTTCTTATTTTGGGGAATACTGAATCCCAATATGACCAAAATTAGAGACAAGCATTTAGCTGCATAAAATAGGAGAGACAGTACCTGATCTGGGTCTTTAAGGAGCTGTGAGGACATGTTCACCTAGTTTACTAACTGGAGGAAGAGAGGCTTTCTGGAGGCCATGCCTCTAAACTGTGCATTGAACAAGTTGCTTTCAAGACCCACCAGCCTCTCAAAAGCTTCAGTGGCCCAGATGGACTAAAAGCTGCTCCTCACATCTTCAGAACCACATCCACCTTCAAACACAACACAACAATAGAGGAAATCTACTCATGTTGGCAAAATGATGATCAGAGATAGTAAGAAGAGACACAATAGTGTCCTTGCGGATTTACAGGCAGAAAAAGGAGTTTATATAAACGCCTCTTTCTTCCCTGCCTTCACCACCACCCCCAAAAGTAAATCATGCAGCCGTGTACACTCCTGCATAGTGGCTTTAATATGCTGAGTGATTAAAGGTGAGGATGATGACTACAGGACATACTATGCACCTTTAGAGGGTTTTCAGTTCAACACTTAGGGGGCCAAATGGGGCTACTGTGTATCTAAAATATTTTACTCTGATTAAAGGTGTAATTATACAGTTAGTCATAATAGCTGCCATACTTTAAAAGAAACCCACCTCTCCTTCAGGGGAAGGGAAGGAAATTATGCTACTTTATTCATCCAAACACACTCTCAGTTAAATTCAAATACAGCATGTGGACTAGATAAATACAGTGACACACAGCCACAAACACTTAGTAATCCAAGATAGAACAAGGAGATGAATGTCTTAACCTATAATCTTCGCAAAGGGAAACTAAATCTTATGATTAAGAGTTCTGTCATATCTGTGCAGGTATCAGTGGAGGCTGTATGTTTTCTTCTCAAGTGCCATAAGAAATTCATGCTAGTTTTAGGGCCTGAAAGACACTTGCAAACACAGGGTCTGACACAGAGCTTAAGCGATTTTCTTGTTTATATAGTTAGCACATAACTTCAATGGATATCCACATATGTGTTGTAGAAAGGAGAAGGCTAGTGCTAAGAATCTTATTCAGCATAAACAAGCCAAAAGTCTTTTCCTTCTCACTGTATTTTCAACCCTGTAACAGATTTGCTGCACTGTTACCTTCATCAGTCCAGGCCCACAGGAATACTGATTTTTGTCCAGGAGGGGTTTCCCTGGCTCAGGTCACTTTTCACAGAAGAGTAGCTGATCTCAAATAGCCACTGCTATTAATATATAAGAAAAGATGGGGGAGCTAAATTCTGCATTTAGAATATACCTTTTAAAATAAACAATTCTGGTTACACAGGAGAGTGAAAAAGAAATGCACAACAGAGAAGCTTCAGTTTTTCACCATTTTTTTAACTGACATTCAAAGTTCATAGTTAACACCACTAAAAGCCATTTAGAGAACCTGCCCCAGAAAATGATGCCTTGACACCCTTTACAGGGTTCAGTTTGCTGAGGAGACAAACTCAGACAGAACACAGACCTAGTTCACTTGAAGGAAGGGAGGCAGGGCCTACACAGCATCTTGATTCACAGCAGTCCCAGCTCCCAAACCAAATGACAGAAGCAGGTTGGGTAAAATGCATATCACATTTCAAGAGAAAAAGAAAGGGAAAGGGTATGAGGTACAAGAGGAGAAAACGGTCCTACTGCCAATAATTTCCAGTTATACGCATGGAATTTGTATACTCTCCTTCTGGAATAAAATATTTAGAGCCCTTGGTATGCATTCAACAGCTCTGAACAAATCCATTGAGTTTTACTGCTTAACCTTTATCCTCTCCCCCGTTTTATTTTTTTTAGCATTGACATTAAAATTTTTGAATATTCTATAATTCAACAACGGAATATACATTACCCACACTAATCCCTTGACACAGGAGAAGGCTGACCAGAACCCAGCTGAGGCACCACATTCCACATAATTTCTTAAATAACAGAATTATAAATCATCTTTATACGTGCATAGTTTTTAATCCCCATCCTCTGCCCAACATAGCTCAGTGGTCAAGTCCCAAGAACAACTTTGAGTCCTATCATCTGTGGTTTTTTCCAAGCATTTTCTCAAGTGATCCTGTAGCTCCATCACTGCAACTCCCCTAAGCTAGACTTCTGTATCATTTTACAAAGCAATCTGTTATTCTTTAAGCTTTAACACACTTGATAATAGAGGGAAAAGAACACTGAAAATACACAAGAAAATTTTATCTTGCATCGACAGAACTATACAAGAATAACAAAAATAGAGATCAAGATACGCTATAAAGCCATAAAATTACAAAACATCGCATACAGTAGTTTCATGGGAAAGAAGGATGGGAAAAAAATCTTTTCCAGATTTCACACCATTTCCTTCCCCCATGCACGCCCAATTTGGGTGAGGTGGGGAAGCAAAAGAGGTTATTGTTGCTTTTAATTTTGCCCTGAAACATGCTTTAAGTAATTGCAAGTGAGTGACACCTAGTGATGAACACAGATCTGATCATCCTCCACTCTCCCTCACAGAGAGGATAAGCCAGCAAGCATCGACAGGTAACTCAGGAGTGGGTGTTGAATCATGGGAACCTAACACTACTGTGTTTCTCTCCCTTAAAAGCCAACATCAAGTGAGCCAAGACCAAGAAACTTGGTGCACAGCTGAAAAGAATGAAGATGAAAATAAAATAGTTAATCTGTCCAAAGAAGAAACTGTAAAAACAGATCTAAATCATGACTTGTAAATTCACTTCTTCATTCTCTTTAATCACCTCTCTGTGGAAACATCAAGTTTTCCCAGAGATCTCATTCTTAATTAAAAATATACATCCCAAAAGCAAACGGGAAGAATGGGTTTCTCATCAAATACTAAAATATCAACAGTTGTCTTAGAGACCATTTAGTGATGTCTCTGGCTGTAACTGCTATCCTGTTGTAAAGGATTTTATGAGCTTGTCAAAGACTCTTATTTTGCCAGCAGTTCCAAAATTATTGCTCACAGAGCACTTACTGGAAGTGAAGGGGAGGGGAAGGGATCTAGTGTGATTTCTGGTAGGGTTACAGGAAGGAAAAGTATGCTGCTATGCAAAGTAGCAACAACATAGTTCCCTGAAAGGGAAGCTGGAATAAAGAGACCAAGAAAAGTGGTCTGATTTTTCAACATCATGACATGGGACAATCCTGTATATGGAAGCCCACCCTGAAGAAGCGAGGTCTTTACTTAATGCATTTTTAACAGCCGTCCAAAGCTCCAGGGCTAACATAGCGAAACACAAAATCCTGTAGGAAAGGGAAGTGATTAACCTAGCACAGCCCTTGCTGCTTTAACGCATCTGTGCCATTTCATCTATTTCTGTCATGAGAGGGATTTTTTTCACTGGAACCTCAGGAGTAGCTCCTGCTTTAAAGAAACAAATCATACACCATGGTTACAAGCCATCACAAGGACAGGAGTTAAAAAAGTCAATATAATTAAAAAGCAGCGAAAGGAACACACTTAAACACATGCTACAACTTGTGGACCTTGTTCTGCTCGGTAAACCCATGGCCATCTCTTTTCTCACAGATTCATGTGACATCGGGCTTTGTTTTTTCTGTTTAATTAATCCTTCCACAAACACTAGAGAGAATAGGCAAGCCTGTGAAGTTTAAAGCCCTGAAACCCCAGGCTGTTGGGAAAACTAACGCAACAGAGCCACCTACCATGGAAAGGCAGGACTGACAGGGCTCCGGCAGCGGGAGCCGCCACTGAAACTGATTTGAATGAACTTGACCCAGGTTGGCGGGCGGCCAGCACCCTACGTCACCCCGTGACTTAACAGAACACAGTGTTCCTGGCACCCGCACAAAAATGTGTTGAAATCCACGCTGAAGAGAGGGAGAGAAGTCAGTGTATGTTTCAAATTAATAAAGGAAAATGATAATGAAAAGGTAATAAAGCACAAAGGCAGCATTAAATACTTCTAAATGCATCTGCTGCGTTTCCCCTCTGATTTATTCTTATCATTTGGCACTCTAGAAGCTCGGCACATGGGCAGCTCTGCCCAGGACGAGCCCTTCCTTGTCCAAATCCCATCCCACACGCTCTCCCTCTCACCTCCATTCGTGCCCTACCTGGAAAATTCCGATGCAGCGCTCAGCCCGGCAGCCAGGGCAGACAGCGGCTCCTGTGCCTGGGCTGCCCCTGACTCACCCCCTCACCCAGCCCTCGTGCAGAGGCGACAAGACAGGCATCTCATGCAACGCTTCTACAGGGGATGATAAGTTGTACAGTTATGTCATTCACAAATGGATTATGACAACCCTCTGTCATACAATGGAAAGCAAACAAGTAGGAGAAGAACAGGCAACATAAACTTAATGAACCATGAACTTGATGTACTTCCCCCATATACCATATGGCTATTATTTCCCTTTTCTGCACTTCCTCCCTCTGGGACTCCCCCTCTTCCTCTCCAAAGGCCAGCTCGTCTGTTTTCCTCCTCTTCTCTGTCACGTCTTCTTTCTCTGATGTCCTATCCTCCTCTTCAGTGACTGATCGAGGCATTTTACACTCTTAGGTGCAGGATCAAAACCAGTTCACAGATACCTGCTGAGAGGGTCTTCCCCAGTCACTCAGCTGGGCCATACCTGCCACCTGCAACCACACCAGTGTCCTGGAGTGGAAGCCTCCAGCAATGCCTTCCAACCAGGCCACAACAGCAAGATGGATCCAGCTTCATCCTCATTACCTTTCACACACACAGCCTCAGCCTAGCACATAGTTCATGCTGTTAGAGGGATATACAGGAGATGGAAAGGCAGAAGTGCTCCCTACCTGGACAGTCCACTGAAGCTGCTTCCACTATTTCAGTGCAAACCTGAAAAGCTGCATCAGTTAATAGCTGATCCAGCGTTCCACCACCCATCATCCATCAGCTGAAAATGACAACATTTTTGTCTAGTTACAGATTTTCTAATGAGACACACAACACATGCATCTAGGAGATGATCCATGTCTCCAGTGAGCCCTTTCCAACATCAGAAGCCTGTGTTATATGTGAAAGCTGCACTGATTATTTTTCACATTGACTATTACAACTATAGAAATAAGCTATCTGCTAAAGAGAGACAATAAAACTTGCATAGGAAACAATTAGGCCCTTTTAGTAGTCCCTGGTTTGTATCGCAGAAAACCTTTCAAAATTCCTTTTCTTCCAACTAGAACCCTGCTTATGTCTTTCAAATTAAAACATTATTAGCTCCAGTACTGTAACAGTGGGGAGAATGTCTGCCTTAACATCCCCAGGATGAAAAAAAAAATAATGAGAAAAGTCATGTGTTTGATGTTTTGTGGATATGTATTTTGGATGCTCAGAATGCCATTTTCTGAGTATATGGATCCTAAAGTAAAAGGATCTAGGGAGAGAAGAAAAATACAATTCTTACACTGTTTTTTGGTTTTCCTCACTGTGGGATACAACAAGGACACATTCACCTATGGGAGGAAAAAAATAAAACAAACCAACCCAAACCAACCAACCACAAATGTTGATCAGGACAAAGTAGAGAATGGGACTACCTGAAAGATGAATAATTTAAAAGCTCTCTATAAACAATTAATCACAGAATCATAGAATAGTTAGGGTTGGAAAGGACCTTAAGATCATCTAGTTCCAACCTCCTTGCCATGGGCAGGGACACCTCACACTAAACTATGTCACCCAAAGCTCTGTGCAACCTGGCCTTGAACACCCCCAGGGATGGAGCATTCACAACTTCTTCGGGCAACCCATTCCAGTGCCTCACCACCCTAACAGGAAAGAATTTCTTCCTTATATCCAATCTAAACTTTCCCTGTTTAAGATTGAACCGGTTACCCTTGTCTTATCACTACAGTCCCTAATGAAGAGTCCTCCCCAGCATCCCTATAGGCCCCCTTCAGATACTGGAAGGCTGCTATGAGGTCTCCATGCAGCCTTCTCTTCTCCAGGCTGAACAGCCCCAACTTTCTCAGCCTGTCTTCATACAGGAGGTGCTCCAGTCCCCTGATCATCCTCGTGGCCCTCCTCTGGACTTGTTCCAACAGTTCCATGTCCTTTTTATGTTGAAGACACCAGAACTGCACACAATACTCCAAGTGAGGTCTCACAAGAGCAGAGTAGAGGGGCAGGATCACCTCCTTAACAACCATTTGGCACAATCATGTATAAGTGAAAACTTTCACAGAGCAAGAGAAACAACAGTGGAGATAATTTCTAATCTCATTTTTGTAGGGTCAGGCTCCAAATCAAAGAGGGCACCTAAATAAGCAGCAGAGATAATGTAAATTCAGAGTTAGTTAAGCTACAGGAAGAAAAAGCATTCAAATAAGAAATACAAAAGATAGGTGATGGCACAGATGACAGGGAATTCATATCAGGAGACATAAAGTTCCAACAACATGCCTTGACTTGATAGGTTAACTTTAAAAATCCCAATGGAAGAAGCAGTTCCTATTTAACCAAGATGCACTGGCATTCACAACATATGCACCTAATGTCAAAGCGGTTACCTGCCCGTTCCCCTTCAAGCACAGCCAGAAACTACTCCTGCAACAGGCATGGGGGGCAATATTTTCCTAGAAGAGGGAAGCTATTCGGTAGTCTAATGTTTACAAAGGAGTTTACTGGGTTGCCAAGGAGGAAAAACCCACAGTGATCCCTGAGCAGCATGCTTTGAATACACACAATTAAATTTGTCACAGCATTACAGATGAGTTGTCCACCAAACTTTGAATGCCTGTCCCAGTACCCTGCCTCTCTTCTAATTGGGCTTGGCAAGGAGCACCAAGATACTGTTAAGTCTGAAAGTTTGCTCGAGAACCAGATCCACAGGTTGGAGAAGTTTTTGAGCCACTCCCAGCTGGCTAGTGGGCAAACCACAGGGAGACTGCCAGAGCCTCCAAGGAGGGCAAAGTTGAGGGCAGGATGTGACACACCACAGTCATGCAAGGCTACTTGTCTCCCTAACATGCAGTGTGGTTTACAGCCTCTAAACAAATGCACAAGGCTATTAGCTCAAACAGGGTGAGATTTCTTTCTTTAAAGTATGTGTTCAATAAGATTGTTCCTACACCCTTCAAGACTGTGAATGGGATGTTAAATAAAAAAAGAAAAAATTAGTTAGGATCTCTTGCAATTAAAAGATAAAGCAATAAGCCTTCATATTTTGTAGCTGAATACAAAAGCTAGCAAGACGTGCTCTGTTGCCCTTCTCCTAAACCACCTTATCACTCTGAAAGATGAAGTATTTCAGTTTGTTAAGCCCTGGAATATTTTCATTTGTGGCTTAGGAAATCTCATGTGATTGGACGCAATTAGCTGCACCAGGACCAAAACCACAGTAACGCATTCCCTGACTTTGGTACATATTGTCCATAGAACTTTCAGTTGCAGCACATTATATTTTTATTTAACATATAAAAGAAAACCCCACCTGTCCACCAATAATTTTAATGGTAAAGCCCCATTTTCAAAGGACAGTTGAATCCTGAGCCATAAATGCATCTCTGACCATCTTCAACTATATACATATGAAAGCAACCACAACAGCTTTCATATGTAAAATGAAACCTTTACATTTACCAGTTACATACCTGCCAGGTAGGAAAAAAAAATAAAAATATCTAGGTGAGAGGAATACTTTTCTTAAATATAACACTGTTTGTCAAGGAAGATTATACTAGATGGGTCATGCTCCTTAAAAACAAGTGTAAACAAGATTCATACTGAAGAACAGCTGCAATCCCTTATAGCTCTGTTAAGATGTTATTAATTTGAGAGCTGGGTCACTTGCTAATAAAGCAAAGAGCACTTACTGTCAGTGATGTTGCAGAACCTGACAGTCTAACGTGCTTGCCTACTTTCTCCTCCCTCATTTTTGAGCATAGTTAAAATATCATTTAGAGAGTCAGAGGAAAGAATCTAGGACAGATCCATAACAGGAGTGAGTTGTAAGTGCAAAAGCAACATAAAAACATGACTTCAGAGGACCAGGAAGTGTAATAGCACGTGAGCGATACAATCACACCCATAGGTTGAGTAGGATAATGCCAGAATTAGGTTAGCGTTGCATTTCAGCTTCTGGAATATTCAAAGTCAAAGCATTTTAATTTTATTGCTGGTTTAGAACACCTGATCTCTCAGCCTTCATAACGCTTTGGTCTGGAAATGACTTATTATCAGATGAAAAGCAGAGAAAATAGGTGAAAGGAAAAAAAAGTCGAGCTACCAATGGGGCAACATGACAGGATTTACGTGAGCTGTGGTTACAATAAACGCAGATAGGCACAATTTGTCTGCTTCTATCTGTCTATGTATACAAAATTCAAGACCTTCCAATTTATTAAATGTAAGTTATTACTGTTTGCAGTGAAGGAGATGTTCGTTTCCAGCTACATATGGGAACGCATTCCTAGACACTTGCTTCTATTTTTACCAATTCCAGCTTAGGGTTGAGGGGGGTCTGTGTATGTTCTCAAAAGCTAGTACAGGTTGATGTATTTTTCTAAGAACAAACACACACACACTTGTTCTGACCACATTTTAACCACAGTAATGATGTTGTACAACCCACCAAGTTTCTGGATTCTACAGAATTTTGCAATGTTAACACAGATTTGTACTCACACCTTATTTAACTAAAATTTGAAGTCTGTTTCTTCAGTCTTAATTTCATTCTAATTTTTTGTCAATTCCTTTATAGCTGTAACTATCACCTTCTTCACTTCAGTTTTATGCTTCCATTTCATTATGCACTGGTTTGCCTTAGTTTGTCCTCTGTGGTTTTTAAGAGTTATAGCAAGTATTGGTTTTCCACAGTACCATTTCCTCTCTTTACAACACTAC